TCTCTCCGCGTTGGCAAGAGCTTGCGAGTTTATGACACACCAGTTACTTGCGCTAGCAACATGATCCTGTAAAAGAGCTGTAGCCAAGCTGGAAATGCACGCGGGCAGCATCAGGCAGGAACTCGGCTGGTCGAGATTCGGTTCCGTCTCCCAGAACTAAGGAGTGATATTTCACGGCGGTCGCTCTAGGGTTTGGGTTTGCGTGAATGGAGGGCAACATTCTAAGCGATGTCTTCCACCACCTCGAGGTGAGCAGCTCCATCCGTGGGGTGTAAGTTGCCAAATTTGGATTTTTTGCAGCAGCATCCCGCTGCGGATGCGGATGAGCGAAAGTGCCGCGAGTACCAGCAGCTTCTTGTCAAGGTAAGCAGGATCGATCTCTGGAAGAGTAAATTCTCCACCGATTTGCGTTGCTGATACGCTGTGACAGGGCGAGAGTTTAATGCTGGTTTGTTTGTTTCTGCAGCAACGCACTGAGGTTCAACACCTTCTCGAGCAACAGCAGCAACTCAACGAGCAGCAGCAGCGGCTCAACAAGCAACTCCAGCAGCTGCTCCGGCTGCCGCCAGAGCCTACTGTGGTCTTTCCAAAGGTATCACCTTTCGCTCCTGTTCTTGCTTTCTTTCCTCTTAGATCATCAAGCTTTCTTCTTTTTCTTCTCAGGAAGAACCTGTGCTGCGAGTTGTGAATGGCTGGTACACTGGCTGGGACATAATTTCCAAAGCGCGGGAGGATGCGGCAATCGTCGGGATCGACCAGTTTGGCCACCGTGCAGTACACTTGCCCGATCATGCGTGCGTCGTGGTGGCTAGAGACGGCCTCGAAGTCTTCCAGCGGCTTGATCTTCGCTTCCCGAAAGCCATAGACAACAAGACGACCACTGGCTACGTTCTCTCGGACTATGATATGTGTGGAGACAATGCCGCCGGAGCTCGAATGGTGGTAACCGAGGACCACATTTCGCCAAGCATGGGAAGCGTGGATACGGATCGTTACGAGGACGAGCCTGGAGAGCATTTGGTGATGGGATGCGACGAGTCTGGAAAGCTGATAGTCCGCTGGGGACAAATGCTTTGGGTCAAGCTTCCCAGCGGCTTGAAGATTCCAGATTTTTACCGCGAGAAATGTGCGCACTTCGGCATCGGGAGCGGTGCGGAACTCGATGGAGGTGCAGTCTTTACTCGTGGTAAGTGAATCTTGGTATTGTTCTTGTTTGCTGTTCGTTGGTAACATGGTTCTTGATGTGTTTCAGCTGGTTTCCTTGGCATAGCTACGAGAAATGATGAGCGGAGTTACTGGATTTGGCGAGTCTGTGGGACGGAAGCTCCTTGCGTGCGGATTAAAGTAATCAAATGCAAAGACAAGCTTGCAAAAGCAGGATTTGTAGCAGAGAAGTTGGAGGCCACAGCCTGTCATGAAAGCTTACTGTCCTGAGGTTTGTCACTCCTTGCCAGGTACTTCTTGGAACTTTGAAGTTAGTTCTAGGATTCCTGGAGAAATTGAGATACTTGAGAATTCGACCTGAATATAAAATCGGCTCTTTTTCTTGGATTTGCCTGCTGGGCTCATGGTTTCTTCCAGGACCTTTAGCTTCACGCTCTTGGCTGCAGCCACAAAGAGTTCCATGGCCGTTCACTCTCGGGCTCGACAGGTGAAACTGTGACGTTATGTAGAGAACGACGAGTTTGCCACCGCTTTGGAGCTCTTTTCGCTGGCACTGTTTCGTGATACTCGGACTGTCGTGACTGTTCTCATGGCTTGTGAAAGCCTGGTCTTGGCAGTCGACATCATTTTTTGGAGAAAACTAACTGGAAAGCACAACACTCTGCTAGATGCTTATACGAAGTGTGGCAGCGATTCGAGGAAAGTATTCGCAAGCATGCAGCGTCACGGTGTTGTGTCATTGAACGCTCTAATGCTTGGGTATGTAGGGAACGGGAAGGACGAGCTGGCACTCGAGCCCGACTTGCGGATGCTAGGACGTAGCTGCTGTGGCCTGTGCTGGACTATCAGCACGAGAAAAAAAGCTGTGAACTCGATGCGAAAGGAACCAGGATCCATCCTCAAGCTCGAAACTGTGGGTATGATCTGGAGCTTTTCGTGGCTAATGCTCTGACTGATAAGTCTTTAGTTGTTTCATGGGCATTGCTGCTACAGGGGTACTGAGGTGGCGGTGAACTTGCTTTGTAAATCTTTCAAAGTGGGCTTCACTGATTGCTTGTTTCAGTTTGGCAGCAAAAGAAACGTTCAAATCCTGGAATCCACTCAACAGTTACGAGTTTCATCAAATGTGCTCTATAGCTTTCAAGGTTAAAGTTCTTCCAGTCACAAAGATGCTCCCGAGTCTGAGAAAACTCTTCAATTTTTCATGTTTTAAGAAGTTCTATGGGCAAAGCACCATGGCAGCTATGTTCACTCACAAATGTCAGGGTCAAAGCCATGAAGCCGAAGCTTGTAGTTGTAGTGTTTAGAACTCTCAAAAACGCAATCGGGCGAGCAACAAACATTTACTCATCCACGAACCCCAGACAAGTCGTGGATGTTTAACACAATTCGTTCAACACAATTTGCGCGGAAACAATTTTTAAAAACTTTGCGCGTGTGAGCAAAAGTTGGCGACTGTCCCCGCCAGGAACTCGTGCTGCTCACTCAACAGGGGCTGATCATCGGAGACTGGCAAAGGAGTTGGCTGATCATCTCTTGGAAACTCTCCACACCAGTGCTAAATTTGCCCAGGGCGGGAATCTAAACTGAATCCAGGAATTGTTGATGCCGTGGCATAGCATTGCGTCTCATAAAACTTGCTAATGCAAATTTATGCAGGCGTGGCAAAACCTTGTATCGATTTGTCTTGGAAAGATCTCTAAAAATGATAGTCTCTCGTGAAACGCGGTAGCGTCTGCATATGCCCATCCCTGTTATCTTGTTTGGATCTTTGGCGATGATAGATGTTATGACAAACGAACCACAACAGCAAACAAAAAAAACCAATGGTGGCAGGATTAGCAAGAGAACAAAGCTGTGAACTCGATGACAAAACGGTGAAGGCGCAGAAAGGAACCATGATTCATCTGGAAGCTCGGCAACATTTCATGGCCAATGCTCTCATTGCAAAGTGAAGTTTTTAGCGGTTTGAGGCATCCTGATGTTTCATTGGCATGACTGCTACGTACAGGGGTACGCGGAAGATGGAGGTGAACTTGTTGTAAGTCTTTCGAAGACTGGAGCAAAACGGTCATGGTGTTTGTTAAATTGCTCGGCCTTTGGTCGCTGCTCTAATGGCTTGTTCCAGTTTGGCAGCAAAGAGCATCGAATGAAACTCAAATCTGTGGAGAAATATCCTTGGAAATCCACATAACAGCTTCGAGTGACTCCGTCAAACATGCTTTGGCAGTGTTTGACAGGATGAGTGTTTGACATTGTCTCGTGAAATCCGCTCATCATCCTCGCTTTGGATCTCTTCGAGTGTGGCAGCATTCCAGAAAATCTCGCGGACATTCGTCGCCGCTCTCGCAGCTTGTGCAGCTCTTTCCGCTCATGAAGATGGAGAATTCTTGGCCTCAAAAGCTTGTCCAAATTTTTGTCGTCCAATTTGCCAGCCAAAACTTCTTCTCTTCTTTCAACTCGGCTCCCAGTAATGCCACAAAGATGCTCCAGGTCTGTGTAATCTTGCTCTCGTAAAAAGTTCCTCCATTTTTTGATGAAATTCTCGAAAAAAAACGTTCTCGATGCACTGCTCGCGCGCATAGCACCATGACTCATTAACTTAATCCGAGGAGCTTGATTACTTTAAAAAAACAGGCCTCCAGTCGGACGTTTGCCGCCCGTTTCCCGCCCGGAATTCAAACTCGTCGCTTTAATGAATGCCACGCTTTAAAAAGTGGAAAAAAAAAAGAGGTATCATCGAATATTCGCAGTTGACGGTCCCACTTAAGATGCCGCTCTTGCCAACGGCCAGGATGTTCTAGGCCCGGACATACGTTTGATTTTCTTCCGTGTGGGCTCTCACCAGTGGAGGAGCGCGCGATGGCGGTGAAGAACTGGGTCTCGCGGCTGGACAGCAAGGGCAAGATCGTGTGCTCACTGGTGGTGGCGCTCAGTGTCTTCTCGGCGATTCTTGGCTTCTCGGCCGAGGGCGAGCGCGTCAGGGTATGTGTGATTCGATTTCTTCCCGTTCTTGCCCTATTCTCGCTCTTCCTCTCGATTCTTGGCTGGATTTCCTAGAAGCTGGGCTTTTCTCGATTGGATTCCAGTGCTAGGCGATGCATTCCTTCTCACGCTTGGAAATCTCTTTTCTTGTTCTTTCTTCCTTTTCTTGATACTCTCTACTAACGAAGACTTATTTGCCAAGCGAAGCCCGATGAGGTCCGTCGCGTCAATGGAGCGTGTACATATCCCAAGAGCTCGGCGTTGGGTCTTGGAATCAGCGCGGCGCTCTTCCTCCTCGCCGCCCAAGTCCTCGTTAACGTCTTTGGCGGCTGCATTTGCTGCGAGAGGAGATCGAGCTCCTCGTTCGTTTCCATGATCCGGCTCGCAACTTTGAGCTTGATCGCCTCCTGGTAAGTCAAGCTTGGTTCTCTCCTTGGTTCCCTAGCTTATAACTTTGCTCGATCTTGGGTCTCTAGCTTATAACGTTTGCTCGATCTTCCAGGATCACTTTCTTCTTCGCTTTCATCCTGCTCGTCGTGGGAGCAAGCTTGAATCAGCGCCACCAGGACGATCACTGGTTCACTGGCCAGTGCTTCGTCGTCAAGCGTGGGGTGTTTGCCGGTGCCGCGGTGCTCTCGCTCGCGACTGGAGCTCTGGGAGTTCTCTACTACTTCGCCGCCTCCGAGACGAGGAAGCAGGACTGGCAAAGCCATCAACCGGGGGGTGTCACCATGGGCCAGTCGTATGGAGCTCACCAGTTTGGAAGCTACTCTCCATACCCACAAAGCAGCCAGTTCCCTTCCATTTGAATCAAGCTAAGTGGTTTCTTTCTCTTGGTACCATCTCTCTCGTAGAGCTTAAGAGCTTAGATTTCTTGTCTAGGTGCTCGCTTGAATAAGAGAGCGTTCTTCCCGAGTCTTAAGACTTACTCTTTACGATCTTACGTAGAAGATTTCTTGTCCTTGAAAGCAATCAATAGAACTGGATTGTTTTGCTTCACGAGCAGCAGTATGGTTGTCTTCCAGGACTCGATGGAGCCATCGTTGGGCAAAGAGACGGACACATATTTTCTCCTATCAAAGATCTTCCTGTGGAGAAGAAGTAAAGGAATTGTTCCCAGCTTATAGCACCGATTCCTATCAGACAGGCACCAAAACACTTGTTTAGATTTAAGAAAATGGTTCTTTTCTTGTTCTTCACTCACCTGTGTTGTCAATCCGGTTGAAGACACTCTCGAAGGACTCTCGCCGGCCATCCTTGTTTCGTGCTCTGGACAGCTGCATGAAGGCAGCGATCTGCAGCACAGGAGAGATTCAAGTTTTTAGCACCGTTGGAGAGGAGATTTTTAGAGAGCATACAGACATCTTTGTCGCGTTTCATCGCCACCATGAGCTCGCCCTTGGTGATTTTACTGCAAGTTACTTCGAAATTTGAGGCGCTGTCCAAAAGTAAAGAAGATTACCCTGTGTTTTCAGAGTCGATCTTCGTGAACATGTCCAATAGCCTTTGGTACTCCTTCACCGAAATTCCCACCGCCGCCGCTTGTGTCCTGATGTAAGCAGCATCTCTTGCATTCTTGCTGGCTGCTCTTACAGCTCCAAACGCTGTTGTTAGCTGCTCCATCGCCCTGTTTACGCACTAAACTAAGCTTACTTCTGAGAATTATCATCCGAGATCGAAAGTTTTTCCTTACCTTGCGTGAAATGTCAATGCGCTGTGAAGGAATTGCTCGAGAAGTTGCTGCAGACTCCTCGCAAGTCAGCTCTCAAAATAGGATGTACTTAATCCTCACCATGTAAGGCTCAAATGGATCACCAATGTCTCCCGGCCAGCGAGGGTGCCACCCTTCTGCGTGCGGCTTGAGCGGTATCTCACCTTTCCTCGCAGTCAAGAGATGTTGCATCGTTTCTGGTGGAAACATCTGGAAACGAAATGCACAAGTTAGACGCGCCTCGACTCTTTGATCTAAGCACTTACAACTTACTCTGGGAACAACTCCGCGAGAGCCAAACTGCTGAATGGAAGCATCAAGAGCTACGTTGATCCTCTCTGCCTGCGATCAAGGAATGCTTCAAGGACTTAAAGCCTTAGAAAAAAGAAGCTCAAGAAACTACCATAGCATTGCGCATCTCTTCAGCAGCTAGTATCGCCTCGGCAGCAGTGTAAAGGCTAGAGACTTGTTCTTCTGTTTGAAACAAAGAGGAGAAAGATAAAAAATAGAAGAGAAGAGTTCCACAAGTCATGGAAGAAACGCTCAAACAGGCAAGAAATTCGTTACCAGTTTGACCTTACGATTGCATTGATAAGCATCCATGCTGTTGCAAAGGTTGAGCTTCTGCTCCAGCCGGGCGCAGGACTGGATTGCCCGCGACACATTAATGTCGTAGCATTGGACACCTGATCAACAAAGAACACATAAGAAAACCGTAGAAAATCCCCCAAACTCACGCTTCATCTCCGTCGCCCATGTCTGCAGCGCATACCGGAGTTGCCGCACCTTGCTGCTCCTCTGGAACTGTGGATCTCGCCACACAGCGCAATCGGTGATGATGGCGCGCGCGAGCTCCTCGCACGCCATAGCCGAGCCTTAGGGCTCAACTGAAACAGGCGGCAGTTCTCATTTTAAATGTCTCTTACACGTGTCACTCATCCACTGCGTTTTGCCAGCGTGGATGCTGACATGGATAGATTATACTTAAATAATGTATAATAACACCCTCAATCACATTTAGGCGCGCTCGCCAATCAATGCGAGCATAGGCATTATTATTCGATATGTACCGTGACGCTGTCGACGATTCTGCCCGCGAGCTACTACGACCTACTGCGACCCTATCGAGAGAGTCTCTCGCGACAGCGATCGCGACACCTCTCTGGTGCGCTATCGATTCGATCGCTTTCGCCGCGACAGTGCCACTGCCCCTGCCCAAAAGCGCAAGCGCAATGCGCTGCCAGATAGCTGCTTAACAGGTACCATGGACGCCGCTGGAAAGCGTGATTAGGAGTGGAAGAATCGAACCGCAAGTGTTCTTGACACCCCCGGCGTCGCAATCTTCGCAGGGAGCGCCAGGAGCGATGGAATAAATGGCGGCATTCGCGCTGGGACTATCGCTGTTCATCGTCTAGGGCGCCGTGCGCGAGGAGCAAGAACCCTGGGGTTTTTGGCGCTGGAATGGCGCCTCGGCGATCAGGTAGCGAGCTCGCATCTCCTGCCTTTCCAGGATTTCAGGCTCACAATGCTCGCAGGTTTGGGATTCATCATCTATTGGAGTAGAGATTCGATATTACGCCGCCTCTGATCGATCTCTATCGCCGTGAGCAATGACGACGAGGCTACCGCGGACGTTCACCACCGGGACGTTCCCGACCGAATTCGATAGCGAGGTCGTGCCATCGTCCTTGGGTCCTATCGCCGCCATACTCCGTGTTGCCAATGAGGTCGAGCAAGACAGCCAACGAGTGGCTTATCTTTGTAAGTTTTTGTATAGCGATTCTGGTCGGTTTCTTATCTATGTTCTTCTCGTGGATTGATAGGCCGCTTCTATGCTTTCGAGAGAGCTCACTATGATGATCCTTCTTCGAGTGGTCGAGGAGTCCGGCAGTTCAAGACGGCGCTTCTGCAGCGGCTGGAGAAGGTCTGGAGTTTATTTTTTTTTCGCTCTCTTGGTGTTCTTATTTCTTTTGGGCAGGATGAGGAGCCCTCCAGGCTTGCGAGGCGTGAAAGAAGCGATGCGCGAGAGATGCAGCGCTTCTACCAAAACTATTACGACAAATACGTCAAGGCTTTGGAGGCCGACCATCAGGACAGGTCTCATAGCCATGAATTTGAATGTAAAGCTTCACTGTGATTTGGATTAACAGGGCGTCGCTTGCGAAAGCTTATCAGACAGCTGGTATTTTGTTTGACGTACTCACGTCTGTGACACGGCAAGACGGAGCGGAAGTGGATTCTGAAGTATAGTTTCTTTTCGTTGTTTATGTTCTCGCAAAATAGTTTTTCTTACAACAATATTTTGTGCAGATGCAAGCTATGAACACTGATGTGACCAAGAAGAAAAAGGACATCAAGCACTACAACATCCTTCCGCTTGATGCCGCCGGCGCGTCCCAAGCCATCATGAAACTAGAAGAGGTACGTTTACCTTGTTCGCTAGTCGGGTTTTCCAATTTATGGTTTACAGGTCCGGGCTGCTCATGATGCAATAGCGAACGTTCGTGGTTTGCCAAAGAGAAAGGAAGCACCCTCAGACATTCTCGAGTGGCTTCAAGTGATGTTCGGTTTCCAGGTGTGTTTTTGTTGTTCCGATTTCTCTCAGTTTCAACGATGAATTTCAGAAGGATAATGTCGCAAATCAACGAGAGCATTTGATATTGCTCCTTGCAAATGTCCATGTTTCTTTAGACCCAGAGCCGTCACCACTGTATAAGGTTTGTTGTATGGCTACGAAATAATATTTGACAAGTTTTTTTTGTTTTAAACAGTTGGATCAGCGTGCAACAGAGATTGTCATGAAACGAATGTTCAAAAACTATAGAACATGGTGCAAGTTTCTGGGGCGCTCAGACAAACTAGAGTATACTGCTCTACTTTTTACTAGGTGCATGGTTCTGATCTCACACAACGTTACAGGCTTCCTGAGATACAATTAGAGGTGCAGCAGCGGATGATCTTGTACATGGCATTATACCTTTTAATATGGGGGGAAGCTGCAAACGTTCGATTTATGCCCGAGTGTTTGTGTTACATTTTTCATCATGTGAGTGAACTTCGTATATCCGTACGGATGTTAACCAAGTTTAAGCTTGCAGATGGCGTCTGAGTTGTCGGGAATGCTTTCTGGGAGAGTTAGCTATGTCACTGGCGAGAATATAAAACCAGCCTATGGGAGCGAGGACGAGGCTTTCCTTAAAAAAGTCGTGACACCTATTTACAATGTGATTTTCAAGGTATGTGAGCTTTGGTTTTTCTACTGCTCATGACGTATCTGCAGGAGAAAGAGAGTAACAGAAACGAAAGTGGCGGCAAGCCGCATTCTTCTTGGCGAAATTATGATGATTTGAACGAATACTTCTGGTTTGTACATAGACACCCTCTTGGAAGTTCTAACAACTCAACGTGCAGGTCTAAAACGTGCTTCCGTTTGGGCTGGCCTATGAGAAAAGATGATGAATTTTTTGTTGGAGCGGCCGAAGAAGCACATAGCAGGTCTTCAAAGGTATTTTCATACTTCATTATCTTAAAAGGCCTACTGTTTGTTTTTTACAGTTAGCAAGATTTTTACCTCGAAAACCAAGTTGCTTAAAGACAAATTTTGTAGAAGCTAGATCGTTTTGGCATTTATTCAGAACCTTTGATCGCATGTGGACGTTTTTTATCCTCTGGCTTCAGGTGAAATCTCGTTTTGATTGGCCTTTTTAAAACATTGTTTGTTGCTTTCACAGGCGATGATTATCATTGCTTGGAATGGATCTGGCTCTCTAGGGGCGTTGTTTGAAGGTTCAGTGTTTAAGAAGGTTCTTTCTGTCTTCATCACGGCTGCTGTTCTCCGGTTCTTTCAAGGTAACTTCTGATGTGTTTCATAACCAGGTACTAACACTTTGGAAACAGCTCTCCTTGATATAATATTCTCCTTCAAAGCACTCCATAGTCTCGGATATGTTGGTTCGATTAGGCTTGTATTGAAAGTTCTGGTTTCTGCTTTTTGGATCGTTATCCTTTCGACCAGCTACGTCCACTCCTGGGAACATCCAACAGGACTGACGAGAACCATTAAAAATTTGCTGGGACATAATGGGGGGCCTTCCGTGTACTTGGTAGCTGTGATCCTGTATCTCGTACCAAATGCCATCGCAGCTATTTTTTTCTTGTTACCATGCGTGAGGCGAGTTGCAGAAGAATCAGATGCAATTCCCGTCAGAATTCTTCTTTGGTGGTCTCAGGTAAGTTTCTTTTTTGTACACCTTATAGCTTCGTTTGTTTCTATGTTTTTTTTTCTTGCGACAGCCACCGTGCTACATTGGTCGAGGGATGCATGAGGAGCCTTTGCATCTTTTCAGGTAAAGATCTTTGACTATTCTTTGGCATTTGCTAATATGTTTGTTTTCAGCTACACGTTTTTTTGGATAGTACTCATAACCTGCAAGTTGTTATTTAGCTATTACGTGGAGGTAATCAAATTGCAGATTTTTCTTCTTGCTTTTTACTGTTTTTATAGATCAAGCCTCTTGTGGAGCCTACAAAATTTATTCTAGATTTTACTAACGTTAGATTTGCGTGGCACGAGTTCTTTCCTCATGGTAATCTTAGCGCAAGGCGTATTTGATTTTTGCACTCACTCGTTATTTCAGCAAGAGGGAACATTGGCGTCTTGATTGCACTGTGGACACCGGTTATTCTTGTAAGTTGTGCTTTATCTCATTTTCTTTATTTAATTTTGCACATTCTTCATGCAGGTGTATTTTATGGATATTCAGATTTGGTATTCTATTATGTCGACAATTTGGGGAGGTGTTGTTGGAGCATTCATGCGACTTGGAGAGGTAAACGTGATGTCCACAAGCACGAAAGTGAATGCATTTTTGTCACAGATAAGAACTTTAAGTATGCTGCGATCAAGATTTCGTGCTTTGCCAACAACTTTCAACTGGAATCTGATACCTTTAGAGAGCTCGGTTAAAAGAAAATATCAGATTCTAAGGAAGTTTAAGGCTGTACGTAAAATCGCTAACCGTGCCCTTTCCAAGCTATTATTTAATCTTTCTCTCACTCAATCTCTTGCAGTTTGAGCATAACAAGTTGGAAGAAGCAAGATTTGCTCACCTCTGGAACGCTGTTATTGAGTCTTTACGCGAAGAAGATTTTTTAGATGACAAGTAAGTACTTCTATTTGTTATTTGTTCACTTGTGATTGGCCATTTCTATAGAGAAAAGGAGTTGATGCTACTGCCTTACTCAGCAGATCCATATCCGAGTAACAATATTATTCAATGGCCGCCATTTTTACTGGCTAGTATGGTCTGTCTCCTTTTTGTCGTTTCCAGCTCGGAACTTACAGTTTTTCCTTAGGCACCTATGGCTATAGAAATGGCCAAAGAGTATGCTGAAGTGCAAGGGGAAAATGTGGAAGACGCTCGTCTTTGGAACAAAATCAAAGAAAATGAGTACATGCGCTGTGCTGTGGAAGAATGTTACGAGTTTCTTAAAAACATTCTGTTGCGCGTTGTAACTGGGGACACGGAGAAAAGGTGAGTTACCGGTTTGGCAATTTTTATGTTGAATGCTCTGGCTACAGGCTTATCCATGATTTGCTGAAAGAACTGGAGGATAGGAAGGCCGAGGGCAAGCTCCTGGAGAATTTTCGTATGAATGACCTTCCTTTACTGGCTGGCCATTTTGTTCGTTTCCTCGAATTTCTGGTGAGGAAATGGATGGTTATGCTGCTCATACTTTGTGATTTTCGTACAGGACAAGCCGGACCCTTCAGACACTGCACGGGACAAAGTTGTTCTCCTTCTACAAGATATGCTAGAAGTTTTTATGCATGACATGATGGTCGATGATACGAGGTAGAAAGTGTAACATTTAGAATTTTACTGCATTTTTACTTTTGTTTTTTTTTTCTTTAGAGAGAAGTTTGAGTCCAGTCATGGACTGAACATGAAACCCACCGACAACCAGTCTGTCATGGGTGGCAAAGGAAAGATACAATTTTTTGCCGGGAAAGATTCCATTTTGTATCCTCTACCTGAGGACCATGCCTGGAGTGAGCAGGTAACTTCTTTCGTTTTTGTTTCTGCTATAACCTCAGCTTTTTCTTCTACCAGATAAAGCGCGTATTGTTGCTCCTTACTGAAACAGAATCCGCTATGGATGTTCCTAAAAATCTGGACGCTCGTCGACGAATAACCTTTTTCACCAACTCGTTATTTATGAAAATGCCTCCTGCACCTCGTGTTCGAAAGATGATTCCCTTCAGGTAATTCACAGTTCCATAAAATGATGTTCTTTTGACCACATTCTCTTAGTGTTTTGACCCCATTCTACGAAGAGGAGGTTCTTTATTCAAAGAATGTCATAGAGGAACCAAATGAAGACGGCGTGTCCATACTTTTCTATTTGCAAAACGTTTATCCAGGTTTCTCTTCCATAACTCTGGGCATGTTTGGGTCCTAACATAGTCCTGCAGATGAATGGAATAAGTTCCTTGAAAGAGTTAACTGTAGTACCGAGGAGGAAGTAGAAGAAGCTGCGCTTCGTGATTGGACGTCATATCGGGGACAAACTCTCTCGCGGACTGGTACGATTTACCTGCAATCTTTTGTGTTCTGATGGTGCTTGTAGTGAGGGGGATGATGTACTACCGAACTGCACTGGAACTGCAAGCTTTTTTAGATTTAGCCCCTGACGAAGGTTGGTCTACTACATGTATAGAGATAATTCTAACATTTTTACCTTCGTTTCTAGATGTTTATACGGGCTTCAAAGAAGTGTCTAAGCGTCGAAAGGAAGAAAAAGGACAAGATTCTTTCTGGGCAAAGCTGGATGCTATCGTTGACATGAAATTCACTTTTGTTGCAACCTGCCAAAAGTTTGGTCAGCAGAAGCACTCGAAAGACCTGAAGGAGGCGTCAAAAGCTCAGGACATACAGAAACTAATGACGAAGTATAGATCAGGTTTTTCCTTGCAATCTGGTGTTTAAAGGAAAGCTTTTGCAGGTATCCTTCACTGAGGGTTGCTTATGTGCTTGAAGAAGAACCATCGAAGGGTAAACCGCAAAAGTCGTATTATTCTGTTCTGTCCAAGGCTGTGGATGGCCGGGATGAGGTATAATTTGTCATGACTAGCATTTCTTGTATGTTGTTTCTTCACCATTGTTTTCCATCGCAGGAAATATATAAGATAAGACTTCCTGGGCCTGTCAATATTGGAGAAGGCAAACCTGAAAATCAAAATCATGCCATCATTTTTACCCGTGGTCTGGGTTTGCAAACTATTGACATGAACCAGGTATATTTTACTCACTGCAAATACTTGAGCTCCCGCTGTTTATCAGGAAAACTACCTTGAAGAGGCTTTCAAAGTACGCAATCTTTTGGAGGAATTCAAGAGTAGGCATGGAGCTAGATTCCCTACCATTCTAGGTGTGCGAGAGCACATTTTCACCGGAAGGTACCATTTTGAATTCGATATTAACTTTCTAGACGTATTGTGCATTGCAGTGTGTCTTCTTTGGCATGGTTCATGTCAAATCAAGAAACAAGTTTTGTTACCATAGGACAGCGCGTCCTTGCTACTCCTCTAAAGTACGTGTATACCTTTAGAAGACCTTGATTCTAACTTCGGAATACATTCTTTACAGAGTACGTTTCCACTATGGTCATCCAGATGTGTTTGATAGAATTTTTCACATTACAAGAGGAGGAGTTAGTAAAGCTTCGAAGGGGATCAATTTGAGCGAGGATATTTTTGCCGGTAATGTTCCATTGAAATCGAAACCAAAGCTGACTGTTGCGGAGACAGGTTTTAACTCGACTCTACGCCGTGGACTTGTTACGCACCACGAATACATTCAAGTGGGGAAGGGTCGTGACGTAGGTCTGAATCAAATATCAATATTCGAGGCAAAAGTGGCAAACGGGAACGGTGAACAGACTTTAAGTAGGGATGTCTATCGCTTGGGCCACCGCTTTGATTTCTTCCGAATGCTTTCCTTCTACATTACAACAGTGGGATATTACTTCAGCACCATGGTACTGCTTAACCTTCACTCTTCTCCGTTCTAATAAGTGGTTTCTCATTTCTCAGATAGTCATTCTTACAGTATACGTCTTCTTGTACGGGCGACTCTACTTAGCACTCAGTGGACTGGAGAGGTCTTTTGTCAGGGCAGCACAACAAAACACTGATAGTGCACTCCAATCAGCTTTGGCTTCGCAGTCGTTGATTCAGCTGGGTCTATTGATGGCTCTACCCATGGTGATGGAAATTGGACTCGAGAGGGGATTCCGTATGGCACTCAGCGACTTGATTGTCATGCAGCTACAGCTCGCCTCGGTCTTCTTCACATTCACTCTGGGCTCCAAAGTTCACTACTATGGACGTACCATCTTTCACGGGGGTGCCAAGTACAGAGCAACAGGTCGCGGGTTCGTGGTGAGGCACGAAAAGTTCCCTGATAACTACAGGCTCTACTCAAGAAGTCACTTCGTCAAAGGCTTCGAGCTGATGATCCTGCTCATTATATACGACGTTTACGGATCGCAGACAAGGAATGCCGTCTCGTACGTCCTCATCACATTCTCCATGTGGTTCCTGGTGGGAACGTGGCTGTTTTCCCCTTTCCTCTTCAATCCATCGGGCTTCGAGTGGCAAAAAATCGTTGAAGATTGGAACGATTGGAACAAGTGGATATCCAGTAAGGGAAGGATTGGAGTTCCTGCCAACAAAAGTTGGGAGTCCTGGTGGGAAGAAGAGCAAGATCACCTTCAGAATACAGGTTTTCGCGGCCGTGTCTTTGAAGTGATCCTTGCTCTGAGATTCGTCCTCTACCAATATGGTATTGTCTACCAGTTGAACATCATGCGGGGAAACAAGAGCCTTTCCGTAAGTAAAAGCTGGCCTTTTGATACACTGTCCTGTTCTTACAGTTATATGTTTTTTGCAGATGTATGGTCTATCCTGGGTTGTTATTTGCGTCGTTCTATTCACATTGAAGGTACGCACAGGCTTCGACTTCACTTTTCTGATTGGACTGTGTTTGCAGGCCGTTTCTCTGGGACGAAAGAAATTCAAGGCCAATTTCCAGCTCGTCTTTAGGATGTTGAAGGGAGTCATATTCGTAGCGGTCCTCTCAGTAATCGCTGTGCTTTTCCGCTTTGCTCACCTGACAGTAGGAGACCTGTTCGCCAGCATTCTCGCGTTCGTTCCCACAGGCTGGGGTTTACTTCAGGTTGGTAACTACATTTCCTTGGATTGGTTTTGATAAACGTGTCTACAGATATTTCAAGCATGCAGGCCTGTTATCGTCACGTATGGGATGTGGGACTCGGTACAGGCTCTTGCACGAACGTACGAATACGTCATGGGGCTGTTGCTCTTTGCGCCTGTTGCGATCCTAGCTTGGTTTCCATTCGTGTCCGAGTTCCAGACAAGGCTTCTCTTCAACCAGGCCTTCAGCCGTGGACTGCAAATATCCAGAATTCTGGCTGGTAAACGGAAGAAGGTGGCCGACGACTAGTACAGGTGAGCTAGATCGCAGGTCCAGGTATAACAACTATGGAGGATCTTAAGCGATATACTTAGTTTGAAGACTTGAGGTTATTAAACGTCGGGGCTAGATCGCGTCCAGGTATAACATTATGGAGGATCTTAAGCGATCTAGATGGTAGGCCGGGTGGGCTTCTCGACACGAGGAAATTAAACGTCCAAGTGACGTGGACTGGGAGTTTTTTGGAGGAGAGACGTGTCCAGAGCGTCAGAACATCAGAGGGTGTCCGTCCAGAACATCAGATCGTCAGAGCACCATGGTCTCTGGCAAGCAAGCCAGAGGGAACCGGACGGTGTCGTCAAGGACAATGAGGGTGGCTGTGACGCAAGCAAGAGCAAAAGCGACTCCAAAGTTGCAGGTAAGCTGCTTCAGCCGGAAGACGATCCGGAGGAGACGTTTGCTGACTTGCAAGGTTTGGAAAAACAGGTAGAAGCTCACAAGCGCGAGGGGAAGGCAACCAAGCGGCCGAGGACTTATGCTCCAGATTTCGACGGAGAGCACAACCATTACCACCCGAGGTTCTTCCTGGCGCCACCGCGGCCGGCATACCAGCCCCTCGTTGATGAGGAGCGTGTCCGGCTATAGCCAGACCCCAAACGTGCGGCTTCCGGAGTCTAGGCCTGGTCTTTTGCGCCAAGACCCCATTGCTCGGTCTAGTCTCGTTCACAAGCTCGTCTTTGTAAGGCTTTGGTTCTCAATACAAGCGAGAGGGAGAGTGAGTTTTGGTATCATGGAGAACAGTGTGGCGCTCAAGTGTAAGCTACCTGCGGTTTTGGCGAGCTCGAAAGCTCCAAGGGTGGCGGCGTCGCGAGTGAATCCAAGCGTCCAGCGAGTGAAACCAAGCGTCCAGCAGAGACGAAAGGGGTAAGTAACGTTTCTTTTCGTTTCTTTTTCCTTTCGTGGCTATGGAAGTCATGGACTTCGTGATGTCCAGGAGAAGGCACTGTAACATCTGTGGCAATGGGAAGATCGTTCCTTGTGGCAAATGTAGAGGAAGAGGCGAGTCCAACACACCATATCTCCCATTCTCGGTCGACCCGGTCAAGAAGCCATGCCCGGCTTGTCAGGGGAGAGGATGGTTTCCATGCCCGGACTGTCATCCTCCTCCAAGCCAGTAAAAAAAAGAGATTTTCCAAAGGAGCACACATAAAACCAATTTCTTCCTTGTTTTCCAGGCAAGATTTGATCGTCAACCACAACCAGCTCAAGTCCTAGCCTGTACACAGTGCTGCCTGTACAGCCTGTGCGCGGAAATCCGCCTCTCGGGATCCATAGCCGCGCTCCACCAGAGCCTTCGCGGTCTGGAGCACGAAGTGCCGCATTCTCAAGTCAGGATGGTAATATCCTTTCCCGGACGAATTCGTTCGACGGCTTTTTCGAGGCAAAGCACGTACTCCTCATCGGGAATTCTCTCCTTGAGATCGTGACGTGCTCGTAGAGGATAAGCGGGTTGTCACTGATCCCGGTGGCGTGCGAAAGCAGCTTGACTTCCGGGCTTGCAAATGGTGGCGTGCTCCACTCCTTACAACGCAACTGGCCACCCGAGGTGTAGCATCCCCACGCTGTTGGAGATCTGGTTGTAAGCCAGCAGCAAGAATCCCATGTTCATGCCTTCCACCACTATCCGGAAACCCGTCATGGCAGCGCCGATTCCCATCGCCGTGAAGGCGTTCTCGCAAATCGGCGTGTCCAGGACGCGCAAGTCGCCAAACTGAGCCTCCGTAGTGGCCGACGTCCTCTCCCATGACGCACACTGTGGGATCTCTCGCCATCTCCTCGAGACCTTCGCGGGCATCGAAGAGCAAGATGCCGTGCCTGGATACAGATGTGATCAACCTCGCAAAGAAAAGATTTGCGTTGGCTACAACTGTGAAAGTTTTTGCAACCTGGTGTACACTGCCTGTCCAAAGCTGTGGATGGCCAAGACTAGCTTCACCATTCTTTCCATAGAAAATTTATAAAATCAGACTTCCTGGGCCTGTCAATATTGGAGAGGGCAAACCTGAAAATGAAAACCATGCCATCATTTTTACCTGGTAGTTTTACTTGTGTCTGAAGTCCCCGCTGTTTATCAAGACAACTACCTTGAAGAGGCTTTTACGCAATCTTTTGGAGGAATTCAAGAGTAGGCATGGAGCTAAATTCCCTCGGGGATGTACAGGCTGGGACGGGACTTGAGCTGGTTGTGGACCATTCTATCAGTGCGAGAGAACAATTTTCAATTCGATATTAACTTTACAGACATTTTGTGCTTCTTTGTCATGGTTAATGTCTAATCAAGAAACGAGTTTTGTTACCATTGCACAGTGCGGAGAGGATGGTTCCAGAAAAGAGGTTTTCTTCAATGGCTATGAGCTTAAAAAAAAACTGGATATTTAATAAGGCTCGTGTTCTTCAATGGTTTCCAAAGCCACTAAACAAGAATTTTTTTCCAGGTATCAACTCGAAAAACTGGTAATGTTCTTCCTTATTGTAAGAATGGATTCGAAGAACTTCCACTCTCGCCGGGGAATTTAAGAGCGTTTGTCTTTGTCATGATTGTGGAGTTTTAGATGAGACCTTGCAACATTTGCTCCACTTTCACAATGATCTGCGCCGGCTGTACCACCGTCGCGTCCTCCAGCGTTGCAGCGTAAGGTGTCGGGACGTCCTGTGACGACAAACACTCGGGCCGGCCATCGAGGAAGTCCCAGAAGTTGTCAACAATCGCAGCTCTCAAGCTGGCTCCAATCCCGCCAGTTCTCATGCACTCCTCCACGATGAGAACCTTGTGCGTTTTCTTGATCGAGTTCCCAATCGTGAAGAGATCAAAAGGCTTGAGCGACCTGATGTCGATGATCTCCGGATCATACCCTCGCTCCACCAGCGTCTTGGCAGCCTGGAGCACGAAGTGCCGCATCCTCGAGTAAGTCAGGATGGTGATATCCTTTCCCGGACGAACAAGCTCGGCCTCCTCGAGGCAAAGCACGTACTCCTCGTCGGGGATCCTCTCCTTGAGATTGTAGAGAAGGACGTGCTCGTAGAGGATCACCGGGTTGTCACTCCGGATCGCGGCCTTCATCAGTCCCTTTGCGTTGTATGGAGTGGAGCACGCCACCATTTGCAAGCCCGGGACTGACTGGAAGTACGACTCCAAACGCTGCGAGTGCTCGGCTCCAAGCTGCTTTCCAACCCCACCGGGGCCGCGGATCACCACCGGGATCTTAAACTGACCACCCGACGTATAGTGGAGCATTCCAGCGTTGTTGGAGATCTGGTTGTAAGCCAGCAGCAAGAATCCCATGTTCATGCCTTCTACCACTGTCCGGAGTCCCGTCATGGCAGCGCCGATCCCCATTCCCGTGAAGGAGTTCTCGCAAATCGGCGTGTCCAGCACGCGCAAGTCGCCAAACTTCTCGGCCAGCCCTTTGGTGACTTTGTAGGAGCCTCCGTAGTGGCCGACGTCCTCTCCCATGACGCACACTGTGGGATCTCTCGCCATCTCCTCCTCGAGACCTTCGCGGAGAGCATCGAAGAGCAAGATCTCGTGCCTGGGAAACAAAAGATATGGTCAAGCTTTGCAAAGAAAAGATTTTAGAACTATGGAAGAAAGAAACTCACCCAGACTTTGCAGTAACTGGAGCGGATGTTTCACCCTTTGCCTGCGAGCATGAAACGTTGAGAATCTTTAGCAATTTCGACCGAGACGACGAAAGCAAATGGAGAGGAGATAGAACTTACCGCGACAGCTTTTAGCGCTAGGCTCTTGTTCTTCCTGCTAGAACTCTGAGACAACCCTCCACCAAATGCGATGGCCTGGGTGTGAACTGTAGCAAAAGCTTTCGATCAAAACCTTCCAAAACGAAAGAAGATCCTACCTCGGCTTGGAGAGAACTGGACGTTCCCGCAAGACGAAGACGAAGAACAAGGCACCAAAACCTTTTGAGCCATGGCCGCTGCTGCCATATCCAAGAAACAGGAGCTCTCTCCTTCACCCAAGCCCTTCAATCTATCGTATATAATGGGCTTGGATGTAGCATTTTATAAATCGTAAAAAACAAAAGCCAGGCAGCGATTAGCCCGAGACCTTCGACAATCGAAGCACTTCGCCAATGCCGTTGGTTCTAGATCCACAAAGAGGAGCCACCCAAACATCTGGACCGTCAATTTAGCCATGCAAAGTATTAGCGAATAGGACTCTGCCACGTTAGCAATAGAAAAAACATGTTGTTTGGTCACCAACACCTGTACTTTGTCAAATTCCATCAACAAGGAAAAACGATTTGGTTGACAAAAATGAATCTATCAAATGATAGAAAACTTTGAAATAAAAATCATGCAAAGGAAGGAAAGAAACCACATTTATCTAATGCAAAAAAAATATTGTTATCTTTTGAAAAGAAGCAAAATTTTATTTTCTTTAATCAGTTTAAATTATAATAATTATTTAACAAGATCTACTTATTAGAATAAATATCTCTATAATTAAAAATGCCACCTTTTCTTTTTAATTATTTTCATTTTAGATGATGGTGCTAGTGAACATTTAGCAATTAATTTTTTTTTGTGTAACACTTAAAAAATAAAAATGCAAATTAAATTAAAGAAAATTTTTGGTATAAAAATGAATAAAAGGAAAAAGGTCAATATTTTATGGTATATAAAAGCATTATAATATAATATTGATTAAATATAATATAAAAATATAATATAAACAGACAAATATATTTGGTTAAAGAAAATAAATGGGTAATGAATGGAAAAAGCTATTAGAATGTTTGAGACTTGACCTTTTGTTATTATCTATATAATAAACTACAATTTATATACCTTCACCAAAATTAAATTTATAGAGCATTTTTACATTGCACTAAGTGATAGGCATGTTATAGTAATATAAAAAAGAAATAACTAAATTATTAATAATTATTTTATAATTCTTTTATAAAAAATATTTTTCTAATAACTTTATGATATTAACTATAATTTTTATTTTTATATTTTAAATTTACTTAATAAAATTTAAATATTTTAACAACTTGTACTGTTTGCTAATACTACATTAAAATAATTCCAAAATATTTGTACCACTTAGCTTTGTCTCATAATTAAAGTTTTCAAAACTTTATGTTTTATGTAAAAAATAGCAAAAAATATAACATTAAAATATTTATATAAATAATTTTAATTTCTTTATCCTTCTGATATATAAATAAAAATTACTTATAATTCTTAAAATAGCTTAAACTTTTAATAATAAAATAATGATTATATTTGTTAAATCATGATATAAGTAATATTTATGTAAAATATGTAATATTTTATTAAAATCACTAAATTTTTAAATTTAAATTACATTTCATCTTAAAGAAAGAAATGTGCATTATTAAGAGGTTTTCTTTCAAATGCATGCAATTTAAATTTAAATATTATTTACTTAAATTTTATTCTTTTAATTATATATATAGTATTAAGTATATGACATTACATTTTTCTTAGATTTTAGATTATGTTTTGGATTTTATAATATTTTAATTTATATTTTGTTATTACTTAGTTAAGTACATAAGAAAGGCTCTTTATTATTATTATATTATCATAAAAGTATGTTTAAATTATTACATAATTTAAGCTCATATGTATGTAAAAATCTTTAAAAAAACCGTCAAATTTAGTGTCAAAATAGTTAGAAAGAGTTTATTTAATTTGGTATAAAAGGATTAGTCTGAATGAGTATTATCTAATGAGAATGAGTAACTGAATACTATAGAATATCTAGAATATCCAGGCATATTCTAGATATATCCACTACCAAATCCTTAGTTAAGCAAACCAAAGAAAAAAATCAAGTAAGTATCCTTATTAAATATGTTAAATCAATTTACTAACACTTGAATAAAAGGGACTAATAAAGGAAAGTAATAGCATCAACCACCATTATAGCAATAATAGAAAAATATTCAAAAAGACTTGCCAATCATATTTACAACATGTGTCCCTAGGTATGGATTTAGCATGTACTATCTGATAACATGTTAAATCATGTTATCCTATCTCATACCATTTTATGCCATATTATTTGAGCTTTAGGTTGGGCTTATTTGATGAATTTTGGATGTATTGTTTATATGAGTTTACACTTAGCTGAGGCATATTAGCAACTTAAAATTACACTTTGATTTGGTAAAATTAA